TCTTCATATTCCTCTCTTGGCCTCATGCAGTTCTGTGGTGATTATACATCACTGCAATGACCACTTTGGGTGTTCCCCAGACTGAAAGTGTACCTGCCTTATGTAGTCCCCTTTCTCCTGTCTCATCTATTCCTTCCATTTTCTCGAATTTCCATCTTTTTTTTACGAGCAGAGCAACCCCACCTCCCCCCTACCCCTTCTATCTTTCCTCAGGATCTGGTTACCTTGTGGGAAATTGCATCTGTTATTGTCTCCATGAGTTTTGTTTCTGTAACTGCTATGATGTCTGGGACTTCTCATTGATTTCTTTCTTGCCATTCCTCATTTTTATTCGTAATCCATCTGCATTTGGGGTACCAAACCTTCAACTTCTGTTCTGAATACTGTAATGTGTGCGGGGGTGGAAACAGAGGATGTGTTTTGTGATGTTGGTTTGGAATGTTCAGTTCCGGGGGTATTCTGGCTGAGTCCTTCTGGGTGTATTTCGGGTGTCTTGTCCTTCCATTTGATTACTGGTTATCATTCCGTTTTATTTCCTCCTGTGATGTGTGGGTATGTTGATGTGTTGATTTGTGTGTGTGTTTTGTGTGTGTGTTATTCCAGGTTATATTGTATACTGTGATTACTGGAGTAATATTCGGGTTTGTATATTCTGGGTCATATTACTGCCTTCTGTTCGTAATTTACGGGCCTCTCTTCCCCGATATTCCATGAGTTTATATTACCTGGTCTAAAATCATGGTGTAATTTACCTGCCTTTCCACTACGGTAATATTCTAGGTGTAATATTTCCAGTGTAATATTACTGAAAGATATTATACTGTCTGACTCATTTGGGGTTTAACTTCCACTGGTGTAATATTTACTGTGTCATATTCCTGGGAACATACTGGTTGTCACTTGTTATCTGCAGTATTTATGCGTTAATCATTATCCCTGGAGTACTATCTGTCAGTGTCTACAGGAGTTAATTACTTGTTCATAGTACAGTTCCTTTTTCTGGAACTAACTTGTGTAATATTACTGGTTGTATTTCTGAGTTATTCTGGTGTTATATATGGAGTGAAATTACTGGCTGCAATATTACTGGGCATATACTGGTGTAATATGCTGTAGATATTACTGTGTAATTACTGGGAAATGCTGGATAATTTACTGGAGTACTATTACTGGTGTATATTATCTGATTGATTCTGTGGTATTTATATACGATCAGGACTGTACGTAATATTGTATCCTACTAAGTGACACCGAGTTGTTATTGTCTTATAACTTGATAATGTGTCAAATTTGTTATCCCTAACTTCAATAACTTTGACTGTGTTGTGTATGTGTGTGTATATGTTGTAGTGTTATATATGGTGTGTGTGTATGATGTATGTGTGTTATATTGTTATGCGGTACGTTCGAATGTTGTATATAAATTCGTTATGTTGTTTTGGTAAGTTGATGTACAGGTTGATTTTAGTTGTTGTTATTGATCCAAAGTTGTTGTGGAGGCTTCGACCTCGTTGTAAGTCTGTGGTTGTGAGACCTCGCGGTGTTGTTGTCCAGGGTGTGTGTCAACATCACCAGGGTGTTCAAGTCCACCGGATGTTGACATCCGGGGTGTTGTATCTACCAGGGGTGTTCAATCATCCAGGGGTGATTCAACATTCCACCAGGGGTGATGCAAATTCACTGGGGTGATATCGCTAGGGGTGATCAGCATCCACCGGGGTGTTCAACATTTAAACATTAAATACAGTTTCCTGACCTTAATATCACAATTAAAGCTTATGATTTGAATGTATTTGCTGGAGCGTTTTTGTTGGCCTCAGACAAAATACCAGAATTGTCTACCTGAATTGTGGGAAGGGTGGAGGGTGTCCGGCACCATGGTGGGGGAA